CACCCCCTGCCCCTCCCCACGCCTGCAGCACAAGCCTGGCTTTGTTCACGCTTGGCCCAGGCTCAGGAGGAGCGATGTGGAGCAGGCACATGAGAGGTGCCCTCCCCCAGCAGCCCAGAGCCCCCAGACCCTCCTGGGACCCTGCTGACCCCATGGGCACTCCAAAGGTATGGCCTGGGTATGAGCCCCCTGCATCCCTGAGCCGAGATGAGACCCCTCCTCTCCCAAACCGTGGGGCCCCGCACGGGCTCGCAGCGAGGAGGATGAAAGGAAAAACCCAGTTTTGTGCTCTCAAAAGAAAACTGGGCCTTTTGTTTCCCTGGAAACGGCTGTGCGAAAGCGGAGCGCGCGCGGGGCCGGTGGGTGTTGCGCACAAAGCCCGCACTGAGCCCCTGCCTTTCACTGCCCCTGGCAACCGGCTCCTTCTCGCTGGCACTCCGGGGCTGGGTGGCTGCCAGCCCCCGGGACAAGGAGCTCTAACAGCTCCGGTGCACGGGGCTGCGTGGCCAGGCTGCCCTCGGGCAGATCCGTCCCGCCTGCTCCTGACCCCCCTGCTCCCTGACCCCCCGGCCCTGCTGGGAACATGTGGGCTTGGAAACTGGTGCCCTGAAACCGCCCTCCTGGGACAGTTCTGTGCCTGCAATGGGCACAGGAGGAGGGCCAGGAGCCCTGTGGGGCAGTTTGGGGGAGATGCTTCACCCCAAGGGGTGTTGGGGGTGGTGGTCACACCTCATCTTGCCCAGCAGCACTGCCCAGCAGCAGCACCTTGGTTGTGCAGAGTGCACATGGGGAACCAGGCTGGGGGGTACCTCAGTCCTGTGCTGGGCTGGCTGGACTTTACTGAGACCAGTTCAGGACCAACCACCCCAAACCCAACACTTCAGAGGGCACCCTCTCACAGCATCACCCCAGAGGGAGGCAGCAAAGGGGCTGGGGGCCTTTCCCCATCTCCCCTGGCTGCTCCCTGCCCCCCAGCTGCCCATGCCCACCCCAGAGCCCCCCAGTTTTAGGGAAGAACCATTCCAGGGGCTCCCAGGGCTCAGTCCAGCAGTGCCAGCGGCTGCAAGCACGACGTGCTCTAGGTTACTGGTTTATTGAGCTCATACAGGGCACGGCTTGGATCCGTGGGATACGACCAGTTGGACCTTTTCCTCTTGTGGAGGGGCTGGCAGGAGGGGAGGGGACAGGAGGAGGGCAGTTTGTGTTTGCTGTGTCCTCTGGGAGCCATCATGGTCAGCCTCTGTAGTTTCAGGTGAGACCTTTCCGGCACGACGCCATCTCCAGAGCAGAGCCCCGGGGAGCCCGGCCAGGCAGCCGGGACAGGAGGGTGCTGCTGTCCTCACTGACCTCTGGGCAGAGGCAAGAGGGTCACCAGGGTAGCCATGGGGACTGGCATTTCAATCCCACCTGCCCCATGCTGGCTTTGAAGCCCACGGCGCAGCCCCCTGAGCCGTCTCTCTCTTGTTCCACGTCCAGACACGAGTACTAATGGCAGAACAAGGTTTGGTCTTGGGAGGAGGTGGTGAAACGATCGCTACGGCTCCCTGGTGGCACTTTAGCATGGCGTGCCCAGGGCCAGGAGGGGCGGGGGGGTCTCCCGGGGCTTGTCGAAGAAGATGGAGGAGGACATCTCTGTTTTGAGCTTGCTGTCGGCGCTGCTCTCGCTGGACGAGCCGTCGGGGCCGCAGCCCTCACAGCAGCAGCAACAGCAGTCCATGAAGGCCTGGCCCAGGGGACGGCAGAGACACAGGAGCAGCACGGGCGTCACGGAGCACTTGAAGAACAGGAAGAACTGGTTGATGAGGTTGAGCAGATCCAAGGTCTGCTTGGACACGTCGGGGGACATGTAGGCCACCACGATGTTGCAGACGTTCTCGGGGGTGGTGCAGAGCCCGTAGATGACGGTCAGGGCGATGATGGTGCAGTTGAGGTGGCCCTCGGCCTGGCCCTGCTTGGCGCCCCGGCTCTCGCCCTTCTTGTCAGGGCCGCGCACGCGCCGCGTCACCAGCTGGCAGCTGACGGTGAAGAGCACGGGCAGGCAGAAGTAGCAGCCAAAGTACCACCACATGCGGGCGTTCTGGTAGGTGAGCACCAGCGAGTAGATGGACTCAGGCAGGTTGGACGAAGGTTTCATGGTGCAGAACTCGCTCATCACGCCAGACACGGGCGACGTGTCCCGTGCCAGCTGCCAGAGCAGGATCTCGGGCACCGAGAGCGTCATGGAGCCCACCCAGATGACGGCCAGCTTGGCGATGATGGACTGGCACTGCTCGATGGGCCGCGTGCTGGCCTGGGGGCTGGTGGCTGCGTGGAACCTGTCGATGCCCAGGGCACACAGGCTGAACGTGGTGACCCCCAGCGATGAGACCTGGTCAGGGAGGAGGCACAACAGGGACATCACAGGGGGCTTGGCTCTGCCAGGCTGGGGGCAAACCCCTGGCAGAGACCAGAATGTGACTCCATGTTTCAGAAGGCTTGATTTATGATATATATGTTATATAATATATAAAATTATTATTGACTATAATGCATATTATATATATAACTTATATAATACATTATTCATTAATATAATATATAAAATTGTTATTGACTATAATTTTAATATAATACTATGTACTAATTATTATATTATATTATATTATATTATATTATATTATATTATATTATATTATATTATATATTAATTTCAATATGATATATATTCTATTACTGTTATATTAATATGCTATATATTATATTACATATAATATAATATAATATAATATAATATAATATAATATAATATAATATAATATATAATATAATATAATATAATATAATATAATATAATATAATATAANGTGCTGCTCACAGACCCAGGGGTGTGCTCTGTGCCTGCTCCCCATGCCCCATTCCCCATGTTTGCTCCACATTCCTACTCCCTGTGCTCTGCTGTCTGTGCCTGCTCCCCATTCCCTGCTCCCTATTTCCCACTTCCCCTTTCCTGCTCCCCATTCCCCACTCCCCATTCCTCTCTCTCCATTCCCCACTCCCCATTCCCCCCATCCCATTCCCCATTCCCTGCTCCCCCCTCCCCATTCCCCATTCCCTGCTCCCCACTCCCCATTCCCCTCTCCCCATTCCCTGCTCCCTATTCCCCATTCCCCACTCCCCATTCCTCCCTCCCCCATGCCCCCTCCCCATTTTCCCCCCGCTCTGCTGCCCTGGCTGGGGGGCACAGGAGCTGTGGGGCAGGGCCAGCAGGGCCTGTGGTGACAGTGGTCAGGTCTGTGTGTGCACAGGGGGTGACAAAGGCTGTGCCATGTCTGTGCCATGAGCTGGGGCCTGGCCAGGTTTTTTGGGGCCAGTCTGGGGCACTGGGCTGGCACTGGAGCTGGGTGAGCAGGGGAGGCAGTGCTGGTGCCAGTGCAGGGCTGGGGCACAGGGTGGGGGCCCTGCAGCCCCCCCAGCCCCTTCCCACTGGGCTCCAGGGTGTCAGGCTGGGAATTTACCTTCTGTTCTTGTTTTTGCAGAATTGCACAAAGAGAGGTTTCTTTTTTTTTTTTTTTTTAATTTAACGACTTGTAAAGTGTTGTCTCCCCCCCCCCCCCCCTTTTTTTTTTTTTTTGTAAGAGATATTTTGACTCAGATTTGACCTCTGTTGGGAAATGATTCTTGTAACTGTACAATTTTTTTGCCTCCTAATAATAAATTAACAATTTTGCGTTGCGGCTGTGGTTGCTGCCACGTTACTTCCTCATCATCCCTGCCACCCATCCTTGGGGGCCCTGCCTGGGAGGGAGGTCCCTGTCCCCTGGGTGCCACTGGGCACTGTGTGGCCATTGAGGAGGCACCTCTGATGGTATCAGATCCTTGTTTTCTTGGCTGGAGTGCCAAGACCAGCTTGGGCACTCCATCCATGGAGCTTCCTCTGGACCTTCTGTGTCTCAGAACTGCTGCAGAGCCCTGCTGGGTCTGGGGTCCTGCAGTGCTCCTGCTCCCTCTGGGGGCTGTGCCCACTGCTGCAGGGCTGCTGTGTCATTTGGAGGTGCCTCCATGTCCCCAGGAGGGGGTGACCATCGCTGCTGGGGTCCTGGGGTGGCCCTGTCCTGCTCTGTCAGCTGCCCCGGGGTGGGA